TTTTCATTTAAAGGATTTGCCACTGATGATTCAAACGCGAGTTTTGAGCAGTGTGGAGTAGCACTTGTTGTTTGTCATTTCTCTGATCACAAATGCAGACATGGTTTTATTTTTACGCAGTATAAGTTATTATAATCCGTAATTATGTCCCCATTGGATGCAACAAATGCCTCGTTTATAATGGATTTTGACGTTTTTGTCTCGCGCTCCGGCCGGGACACGGCATCACAGTATGGTAAGGGGCGTAACATTTCCGTCACACGCTTGAGGTATTCGGCCAATCACAACGCACTGGATAGCTGGCCAATCACAGCACACCTCGCTTTTCAGATCAATGAGCTTTGTAAAAATTTACACGTTTCAGAAAGGCGGGGCATAGAGGAGATATAATAATGTACAGTATGTGGAAAATAATGTGTTTTTTTAACCTTAAAGCGCATAAACACATTTCATTACACCAAATACACAAAATAATGTTCTTTTTAGCAACATCATATGATCCCTTTAATAAAATGAAACATATTATAGTGCCATCAGTGATTTTTTGCACTTTGACATTTTTTAATGGAAATTCAACACATTTCCTCACCAAAAATCTTAAAGAGAACATCAATGTGGAGAAGATGTTGTTTACATCAAAACTGAAACCAAGCCGTTCAAACTGAATGCATATTTTGCACATTTTCTAGAGGGACATCTATCACCATTGCACGTCGCACAAAAAAGCCACATGTTTAGAAAGCCATGTAAAATTAATGCAAGTTCAACTTTGAAAAAACATATCTCGAGACTTTATGGCAGGAGTTTTTCCCCATCCCACTGCAACTCGTGTTTTTAAGTAAAAAATGTACTCTGTGTGATTGGCTTTCGGCCCTTTCTATTAAACTATACATACATACATGATGCTGTTTTGTTTATAGTTGTTTAAGCAACTTAATTAATTATAATTGGTTTAGAAACATTATTTTAAACATTATGCACTTTTTTTCACAGATAGTCATGTTATTTTATGCTTTGAAGAAACGTGCATTAGTAATATTTTGCTCGATGCATCCTCTTGTGGCCTCAGGAGAGAATCCAAAAGCTTTTCTTCACCCTAACTGAAATTATGCATTTTCAATTTGAATATAATTCAAATGTTAATAATATTTAAGTACAAAATTCAAATTTAGTGTTTCAGCCATTTTGACAGCCCTAACACTTTGTAAACATTCAAAGTGAAATGTATGTGAAGCTCTAGGTTAATGACTTCTCCAAATGTTAATTGAAGTCAGGAGTCAGCTCAGCCTCTCTGACTTGCAAAAAAAAAAAAGATGTTCATCAGTCCACAATATTAAGTTGTCCGTGAAGTAATCAAATACATAAATAAATAAACAAAACATTGCTGCACATCTGAAGTTAACAAAAGAGCAATGAAATCTCAAAATAATGCCTCCAAAGAGCAATTAATTTCTAAGTAGATCAGAACATTCTGCAGGAGAATTGAAGGCCATCTCTCTGGCCAGATGAAGCATAAGTTGGGTCATGCAACAGTTCAGTGATTCAAAGCACAGGAGTGGATTAACAACAGAAAAATGATGTCTTCTGATGAGGTCAAGTCAGTGTCCTGCTTTCAACCTAGTAAAGTTGTTTTGCCATGATATCAGGAGAGTGATTCAAAGCAGACATCCCAATAATATTGCTGAAGTGCAACAGTTTTTAGTAAGAGGAGTGCTGCACAATTCCTCCTGACACTAGACTACATTTGGATCAGGTTATTGCTCGCAGTGTCAGTCAGTCATTTAAATACAGGCTCACATTTTCTGCCTTGCACGGTGACTGTTTTTGTGCTTCTATAAAGACATTTATGCATGTATTATATGACATATTTTATTATTATTATTATTATTATTATTATATGAAGCACAGTGAACAAATAAATGAGCTAAACTTCTGTTCTGGCAAATGCAAGTAAGGTTGTGCCATATTACAATAACTGACAACATTACAACAACAATAATCAACAACAATTGTTGTCGCATGAATCACACTGAACAAATAATTGAGCTAAACTTAAATTATGTTGTGTCAAAATGTTTGGCAAATTATCATTGTGATGATCAAATTTTAACACGGAACCATGATTTAAACCTTTACTGTAAAGGAATCAAGAAGGGAAAAAGCTTATACTATTCAGTGATTCAGCTAAATACATAATGCATTTGGCTGAAATAAATAGTCTATACATCAAGAAAAGTAAAAGGGACACGAAATACTCCTCTTAAGTGATCTTTTTAAATTTAAATGTGTGGGGCTTGTTTATTCTCAGACGTGCATGTAAATGGATAAACTCTCTGCCATTTAATGTCTTACTTTGGTAATGGATGGAAGCTCTAGCAGACCTGAAAAGCCCTGGCACACTGAGCTGGATCAGAGCCAGCAGCCCCTTTAGAATTTCAAAGTATGCGGTAGTTAAAAAAAGAGAGTAACTTCTGTCCTGCAATTAATCTGAATGTGTAAATAAGTTTGATAAGTCCTATGTAATGATGTTGTGCTGCATTAAAAATGGCCATCCAAGATGACGATGAGTTTGTTTCTTCATCTGAACAGATTTGGAGAAGTTTGGCATTACATCACTTGTTCACCAATGGATCATCTGGAGTGAATGGGTGCCGCCAGAATGAGAGTCCAAACAGCTGATAAAAGCATCACAAGTAATCCACACCACTCCAGTTCATTGGTTAACACATTGTGAAGCAAAAAGCTGTTTGTATGAAACAAATCTAGTGTTAAGACGTTTCAACTTTAAATTTAAAAAAACTTTAACTTTAAACCTCTCTTCTGAACAAAATATTGGTCTATAATCCATAATTACACTTTCTCCAGTGATAAAGTCCATCCATGTTGTTCTCTCACATTAAAATAAAACAACATACTGGTTTAGAACTGCTTTGCATTGGTGCTTGATCTGTTCATATTTCTCTCCTGATTCACACAAGGTGACATTTTCACTGGATAAAGCAATATTGTGGATAGAGGACTCTATATTTGAGATGAAAGCAATTATTTGAAATTAAAAACATCTTATTAATAAATGTGTTTCTTACAAACACACATCTTTTACTTCATGAGAAGTTTTTTTAAGCAAATTTTAATTTGTAGGTGAATTATTCCTTTAAGTATTTTATATTAAAATTAGGGATGCACCGATACCGATACTGGTATCGGGCCCGATACTGGCCTCCTGTACTCATACTCGTTAAAATGCCCGATACCAAACGCCGATACCACACAGCATGTGATAAGCGCCATATCACATGGCATCGGTATCGGCAAGTACCAAAATAAAAGTATCAGTATTGGGGAGAGTACTGGAAAAAGTGGTATCGGTGCATCCCTAATTAAAATGTTTATTCATTTTGTATTTTTGTATTTGTTTATATTTTTATTGCTATTTTTTTTATTTAAAAAGTGAGACATTTTAATTTTAAACTTACAACAACAACAACAAAAGTAAATTTAGTACTTGATCACTTGTCTATTGTGAATTGACTCCACCTGGCTTCCAGTACACACATAAGAAAGGGCAGCAAGTCCCATTGGATCTAATCCTTATCAGTATTTTTACCAGTAGATCATTTATTCCCCTGGCCTAGAGGAATGTGCATATTTTCCCTGTTTATTAAATCAAACCAGAAGCTCGACACATACTGCCAGGTTGCCAAGGGGCTCCAGCAGCTGCCTGCTGGATGACAGGCTGAGCAGAGTTGACTATGTGCATATATCATAATACAAACTCCCAAACACAACTAAACCTGCAGACCTCTTCAGTCTACCCCAAACCCGAGAGACCCCTGATGCCCTATAACTTCTACATCTGATGCCTAGGCAATTTGTCTTGCTTTTTAAAACAAACAAACAAAAATTAAATATTAAAATGTTCAAATTTAAAAGGATAGTGAACTCAGCAATGTATATTCTTTCATTATTGACTGTTTTTACATAAATCATAAATATTTTTATGATGATATTCTAGTGCTTTTTGTTAATTTTGTAGCCCCTGGAACTGTGGTGTTATAAAGAAAGAAAGAAAGGCCACATTCATTTGAATGGTATAAGTATAGAAAGACAGGTACATACACAGAGAAAAAGACAGTTATAAAGAAATAAAATTACTGAAATATATCTTTTCACATTTTTCGCATAATAGAAAAAAAAAATGGAAGCAGAGACCAGATGAAAGTCATTGGCAATGAAAATGTAATTATTTCTGAATGGACAGCTGAAATAATTTTTCACAGAGCTGAGTCAGCATATGTCAATAGAAGCAGTGAGATAACAGTTCAATGTATAATGATCACTGGCCACAAAATGTCACCCTGCTTGACTCGTCTGAAAGGAATCCTGGAAGACAGTATGACATTCTTAGCAGAGGTACATAATCACTCTCTCATCCTCTTAGAAACCTGGCAGAAAACTGGCAATAAAAGTTCTGTATATTTAAAATTAATTATAATTAGTGCTGTCAAAATTAGCATGTTAACACATTTTTTTCAGTTTATCGATTAGGTGATACATTTTTTCATGTTAAAATTATTTAATGCAATTAACGCAGGGGTGGAGCTATTGGCCACCCCACTCACGACTGCTGCTTTCTGTCTGTTTTTTTCTTGACAAGAACGTCTTTACAAACACATCAATTGAGCACAGTATAACAGCTGACTGGTCAGGAAAATTCGTTCACCACTGTTTTTTTCTTGACAAGAACGTCTTTACAACCACATCAAACGCGATACTTTTCAGACGTGCACTCTGACTTCACCTCAGCGCCAGGCACTAGTCAAACAAGTGTGCGGAAAATGTACAGGTGACGAGAAGCTTCAGTGGAACTACGATGAACTGCGATCAGATGAGATGGTGTCAGGCCATATGTCAGTAAATATGAATTTTCCTGTCCAGTCAGCTGTTATACTGTGCTCGCAGCACATGCACTTCAATTGCACGCACAAATGCAGTGGTGCGTGCTGTAAATTCATATTAAAGCGCAAATGAAATGTCTCGGGTTTCACATGTAACCATAGTTCCCCGAGAGGTAACGATACACTACGTCCCCTAGGGGACACTTTGGGGAATTAAATACCCAATACGCCATGCCTCGGCGCATACCTGGCCACCTGGTGAGAGATGGCCTTGCGTAGCCAGACCTTCAGACTAACGGCAGAATGTCTGGGAACCTTGGGTGCTTTGAATCGGGATCAGAATCAGAATCAGAAAGAGCTTTATTGCCAAGGAATTTGTTTTAGTGACATAAGCTTCCAGTACACAGAGACAACAGCAACACACAGACAATAAAAAAATTGAAAAATAAATAAATTGTATGTACAGTTGTGCTATAGATCAGTGTTTCCCAACCGGGGTGCCGTCTGTCGAGAGCAGGGTTGCCGTGTAAAAATTTTTTTTTTTTAAATATTTTTAAATTGCTAAAATGTTCAGAAAAGCATATACAGTGGGGGAGAAAAGTATTTAATCAGCCACCAATTGTGCAAGTTCTCCCACTTAATAATATCCATTTCTGATGTCGCCAAGAATTAGAGATGCACTGAAATTTCGGCTGCCGAAAATTAGTTCACCGCTCAGGTTTCACTTTCACATGGTGTGACGCTCTGCGTATTGTCCCGCTCTATGCGTGTGTGTGCTCCGCTCAGTCGCTCACGGCCCATGTGAGTGCTCCACTATACTGTTGGGCCTATACTATTCATGCTCATCGGAACAGCAAAGTCCACTCAAAAATTGAGCCGACAGGAAACATTGATGTAGTACAGTATTGTTTCTGTCTGCAATATGCTTGCGTGTTCTGATAATAATAGCTTTCTAGGACTAAACATTATTTGTATGTTTGAAATCAAGCTCAATTGTTGTCACATGAAATCTTGTGCTACTGCACCAAAATTACCCCTGTCAAATAAAAAAAAACACTGAGTGAGCAAAAATGTGAGAGATAGCTAGTTATAATGGTAATTAAATAATGTTTACATATGTATAAAGCCTACATTAAAATATGTCATATAAATTAGACATTAGCCTACTGATTGCCACCATTGATGGACACCATTTTTCAATAATATTAAAAATATCTGTATGACATTATATTCTGCAGTTCTTCCCTGTTGTACCGAATATCTATACTTTTAAAATTATCATATCGAAGTTAGAAATTCAAATATTGTGACAAAATTAATTTTGTAGGGTGCCACATGTTTCCATTTTTCAATAATATTAAAAATATCTGTATGACATTATATTCTGCAGTTCTTCCCTGTTGTACCGAATATCTATACTTTTAAAATTATCATATCGAAGTTAGAAATTCAAATATTGTGACAAAATTAATTTTGTAGGGTGCCACATGTTTCCAAAATGTCCAAAGGGTGCCGCGACTAAAAAAAGGTTGGGAAACACTGCTATAGATGATAGAATGGAATAGAATAGAATGAGATGCAGGGATGTACTAGAATGGAGGTGGTAACATAAATATAAGGTTATTGGACATTTTTATTTCATGATGTGGGGAACATTTAACTGTTCATAAGGTAGATTGCCTGGGGCAAGAATCTGTTCTTGTGCCTGGCTGTCCTGGTATTTGGGGCTTTGTAGCGCCGGCCAGATGGCAAAAGTTCAAAGAAGGGATAACTTGGATGTGAGGGATTCAGAGTGATTTTCTGAGCCCTTTTCCTCACTCTGGATGTATACAGTTCTTGAAGGGTGGGCAGGGGAGCACCAATAATCTGTTCAGCAGTTCGAACCGTTCTCTGTAGTCTTCTGATGCCTGATTTTGTAGCTGAACCAAACCATACAGTTATTGAAGTGCACAGGACAGACTCAATGACGGCTGAGTCGAACTGTTTCAGCAGCTCCTGAGGCAGGTTAAACTTCCTCAGCTGACGAAGGAAGTACAACCTTTGTTGGGCCTTTTTTTACAATGGAGTTGATGTGAGTGTCCCACTTCAGGTCCTGGGAGATGATGGATCCCAGGAACTTGAATGTCTCCACTGCAGTCACAGTGCTGTCTATAATGGGGAGTGGGGAGAGTGCAGGGGGGTTTCTCCTGAAGTCCACTATCATCTCCACTGTTTTGAGCATGTTCAGCTCCAGGTTGTTAAGACTGCACCAGACAGCCAGCTGCTCAACCTCTTGTCTGTAAGCAGACTCGTCACCATCCTGGAATAGACCGATGACTGTAATGTCATCTGCGAACTTCAGGAGCTTGACAGAGGGGTATTTATATGTGCAGTCCTTTTTGGTGTAAAGGTAGAAGAGCAGTAGGGAGAGAACACATCCCTGAGGGGCACCAGTGTTGCTGGAGCGGCTGTTTGACATGAATTTCCCCAGTCTCACTAGCTGTTGCCTATCTGTCAGAAAGTTGGTGATCCACTGACAGACAGAGCTATTGACAGAGAGCTGGGTTAGTTGGTCTGGAGGAGTGTTGGAATGATGGTGTTGAAGGTTGAACTAAAGTCCACAAAGAGGATCCTCACATAAGTTCCTGTTTTGTCCAGATGTTGCAGGATGAAGTGCAGTCCCATTTTAACTGCATCATCCACGGACCTGTTTGCTCGGTAAGCAAACTGTAGGGGGTCCAGTGATGTCCTTCAGATAAGCCAGAACCAGTTTTTCGAACAACTTCATGACGACAGACGTTAGTGCAACAGGTCTGTAGTCGTTAAGTCCTGTTATCTTGGGTTTCTTTGGAACGGGGATGATGGTGGAGTATTTGAAGCAGGAAGGGACTTCACACAACTCCAGAGATCAATTGAAGATCTGTGAAAAGATTCACAGATTCACGCAGGTTTTCAGACAGGCTGGTGTCACACCGTCTGGGCCTGGTGCCTTTCTTCTCTTGTTCTTTCTGAAGACCTGACGCACATAATCTTCACTGATCTGAAGTGCAGGAGTGGGGGAGAGGGGGGGTTACAGGAGGTGGTAACGGTTGTGTAGAGAGATGGTCAGAATGGGTGTGGGGGGTTTCAAATCTACAATAAAACTCATTCAGGTCTTCAGCAAGTTGTTGATTCGCCTCAGTGCTGGGGGATGGTGTCTTGTAGTTGGTGATGGCTTTCAGACCTTTCCACACTGAAGCTGAGTCATTGGAAGTGAACTGATCTTCAAACATTTTTAGCGTAGGTCCTTTTAGCCACTCTAATCTCCTTATTCAGTGTGTTCCTGGACTGATTGTACAAGAATATGTCCCCATTTCTGTAGGCATCCTCTTTGGTATGAAGAAGATATCTGAGTTTTGCTGTAAACCATGGCTTATCATTGTTGAATGTTAAATAAGTCCTGGTAGGAATGCATATATCCTAACATAAACTAATATATGATGTCTCTGTGAGTTTGTGCAGATCGGTGGTAGCAGCTTCAAAAACACTCTAATCAGTGGAGTCGAAACAGGCTTGTAAAATCCACTCTGTTTCATTGGTCCATCTCTTTACAGTCTTTACTACAGGTTTAGCAGATTTAAGTTTTTGCCTGTAATTTGCTATAAAATGAACCAGGCAGTGATCAGAGACCCTCAAAGCTGCCCATGGGACAAAGTGATATGCATCCTTAATTGCTGTGTAACAGTGATCCAGTATATTACTGTCTCTGGTGGGACGTGTAACATGCTGTTTGTATTTTGGCAGTTCACGGGAGAGATTTGCTTTATTAAAGTCCCCAAGAATGATTAAAACAGAGTCTGGGTGTTGTTGCTCTGTCTCTGTGATCTGATCAGCGAGATGTCCCGCTGCTGCGCAATTTCCCCATTGATTCTGCGTCGCGGTCCGCTCTGAACAGCTGGAAGCTCGGCAGATGTAGCACACTGTCCGGTGTGGCGTCATGCAGCAAGGTTTACGTGAAACACAGAGCAGCAGAGTGTGAATGGCTAAGGAATGGCTAAGTCCTTAGTGAATGGCTAAGGATCACCCAAGAAGCCATATGACTGACAGGTAAAACAACCAATCATGTTTCGGTTTGTGCCGTGTCATGGTTAGGGGAATGGAAATGTCCCCACAATAACAGACTGGTGTGTAAAAAATGTCTTGGAGGAGATGGGGAAACCCAGCCAATATGGTATAAGGACGGACATCCCATACAACCGATTAACATCTCTGTCTTCAAACAGCTATGAAATAAAAAAATGGGCCATCTGCTTAAAACCCTAAAATAGGGGAGACAGCCCAAATTATGGGAAATTCGGGGGACCGCCAACTTGGAAATACCCAGAAATGAGGGGAGACGCTCGCACATAAAGGAGCACACCCTACTTTAAAAAGCTTAAAGCGGTGAGGCGGATCTGGTTCGGCGGGGAATGTACTTCCTGAAAGCAGCAAACTGTGCGCCCTTGCCTCCCTGAACTTTTCAACCACTACCTCAACAGATGTTCCAAAAAGCCCAGAGAGCGAAAGCAGAGCATCAAGAAGAAAGTGTTTCTCCTTTCTCCCAATGTCTGCTAGATTTAGCCACAGATGTCTCTCCGTGGCCACCATTGCTGCCATGGCACACCCTATAGCAGCAGCCGTCTGTTTAGTGGCACGGAGTGCTAAATCTGTAGTGCGGCGCAGCTCTTCGATCTGCTTCAGGAGACAAACCTTTACCTTCATCTAAATCCCTCAGCAGGTCTGCCTGGTAGGCTTGCAACACCATAGTGTGTCTAACGAATCAGCTCATGGGAAATATGAATAATTAATCATAACTAGTTATAATTAATTATGAATATTTTAGATCTGCTGTAGATATTTAGCTGACCTCTCGGGGTCAACTGTCTTGTCAATTCTAAGAACGTTAATTTCCTGGTTAAGGGAAATAACTTCCTTACTGTACAATTCTACAAAAGCTTGTAGCATAAATCTGCATGATTAAGTGACTCAGTTATGAGCAAACAATGAACCACGTCAAGTGTGATATAAGTAAGGTTTTATTAACTACATAAACACTTAAACTAGTCTAACATACTACATAAACACATAAACTGGTCTAACATACACATACACACACACGCATACAGTTGGTATAGGAAATGGTTCAAGCTTAACTCAGTACAGAGAAGACACATAAGGAATGAAATTTATGGAACCATTTGCATATTCAGCAGATCTACACCTGAGGGAATCGTCAGATTCTTAGTTCAAGCACACCTTGGTAAAAAGGTGCAACTGATACCTAATATATCAATTAATAATACTAAGTTTGATACTTGCAAGTCTCGTCTGTCTGAAAGAGATTCCTGATGCAATCTTAAGGCCCAAGATCTTGCTGAAGTTGGTTGATGAGAAAGAACCAGTTTGAGTCAGAGAATCTTGGTGAAATGGAAAGGTCGAGGCCGAAGCCTGGCACGAGCTTAGGGTTTCCGGGTGCGTTTCTCTCACATCCTCTCAAAATTAAAACAAACCACCGACTCCGCGGGGGTCCCTGGAGTGGGCCTTTAAGGTCGGAGAAGAGTCACGCCTCTCAAGGTGGGCTCGTCCAATGAGAGATACAGAAATTCCAAGCGGGAGGTGGCAATTGCGTGGAGGGCTTTATGACCCTTTGTCTCTAAGCATGGTAATTTGCAAATGGACTTGAGTCGAAATTACTAAGGTGCTGAACAATCCAGACACTCACCTGCCACTCACGGCTGGGAGACAGTGGTGGCTTCTCTGGCTATTGTTGCCTCCAGGAGTGGTTGTGGTGCCATGGTGGATGCTGTTAGGTGGTGTGCTGTGGTGATGTAGGCTGTAGCAAGGTGTGGGTCTTCGAGCTTATGCAGCAGGTGTCAAGGCTGTGTCACCTGTCATCCTGAAGTGAGTTAGTCCGGGTATGATGGTTTTTGTTGATGTTGTTAGCCAGCAGGCTATCTGTGGTACCTGTGATGTGGGACAGCCGGGTTAGACTCTCACTGGTGAGAGTGCAGGTGGTTCCAGGGATTGCCGGGAACTGTTATGGAGATTCTATAGTGTGTAGAGAATTTCCGACTGACCTAGTGATGATGGCAGGAGAGCGGCAGGGGGTTGTGAGCTCTCTGCTTTGCTCAACGTTACTAGAAATCCGATGTTTGCGGTGTCGCTTGGCTCTTGTGGCGGCACCGACTTGAGCTTGCCTGAGTTGTGTTGGTAGAGCTTTCGCTGTTGGGCATGTGGGCCCGTTGCTCAATCCAACGTTGTCTGGCTGCTTCTGGGGGTGTCGACCGGTTTCAAGGGATGCTCCTCCCTTGGAGGGGCCTGATGCTGTGTTGCAGCAGGCAAGGAGTCAGAGGTTTGTCCTTCTCAGTACTCCTTAGTTGAGTTTTGTTCAAGGAGCTCTTTTGCGAGTGTCAGCAGCTCCTGTAACCCAGAAGTAGGAGTGTCCAGCTGTCCTTGTGTAACCTCCGTTCGGAACCTGTGTGAAGGGTGTGGCGGAATATGTTGTGGTGGACTGCTGTTGGACATACCGTGGTGTTTGCAGGATGAGAACGCCTTTATCCATGGCTTTTCCCAGTGGTTGGTCTGGAACCTGGGTCTGTTGCCATGGTGATGGCTTTGTCCTCTTCTGGCTAGGGGCTTTCTGTAGAAGGGTTTTGCATTGTGGCAATGATGGGTGCCTTCTGGTGCCCGCTTTGGATTCTGAGTTGTGAAGTTCAGAATCAGCAGCGATCAGTCCCTGTTCAGACTCTGGGTCTGAGAATTCCTTTATGATGGCTTGTTTAAACTGCTGGTGAGACTGCAGGATCAGTTCCTGTGATGTCCTCAAGGTCTCTGCAGTATTTAGGTTGCCAGATGTATTGTCTCTGGCCAGCGCGTTGGGGTCTGTGGGGTCACACGGTGTCTGTGTCTGCAGTGACGCTCTGGAGAGGTCCCTGCCCCACCCCCTTGTGGCTGCTGGTTGGTGACGTGTGAACAGTGGCTCTCGCCCCCCCCCTCACAGGTTCAGACTCTTGGCTGAGGGGGTGGGCCTGCTGGCCAGGGGAAGTTCTGTTTCGTGTTTCCCTGTCTGTTCACCTTGTGGTCTGCAAGCATATTTCAGCTCATTTGTGACATTGAATTCACCTCGGGCTGCTTGCTGGCTGGCTGCGTTGTTTCAGTTCGCCTGAATTAAACCTTTTTTTTTTCTTCTGCAGCTGCAGAGGTTTTCAGGGAGCTGACTTGTGAAGTGTCAAGCAGAAGGCTTTGGCTCCTTTCCCCCCTTTCGTAGCTGTGCTGGCGACGTGATGTTCAGCCGGCTGTCTTTTGCTTAAGTGTATGCGCAGTCGGTAGGACTGTTTAAATTCTTTCTGAACCATGTCAAGCTCCTCTTTAATTACTGAGTCAGGGTTTGGACCTCAGCTCTGGCTGCATGCAGCTGGCCTTGTAAGGCCTTAGATCTGGTGTCTCTCTCATTTAGTTCCACATCTGTTGTTTTTAACAGTGACTTTGTGTGAAACAGTTCTCTTTCCAAGTCCTGTCTGATGGCTTT